GAGGTCATTCACTTTGCCGGGCTGAGTTCACTAACCCGCTCACTTCCTGACGCGTTCGAAAACATGTTTTGCCCCACTTCGCCTGCTGGCACCGGCAGCGATCTCCTCTCGTCTGTTTTGTTGTCTGCGATTGGAATGTGATAGGCCGTGTTTTAACCCTCGCATGTGTGCGGCGTTTGCCAGCTTCTGATGTGTAGGGGGGGGGGTCGGTTGGACCCCCCCTTGCCGTTTGGCCCCTGATCGAGCTAGAGCTTCGCGGAAAAAACGAGCGTGTTGCCCGTGACGAGAGGAAGCCGATGATACCCAATTTTAAGGTCCTAGGTCATTGGTTGATCTTCCAGGTCAGGTCAATGACCCAAAGTCGGGAAAATCGGGACCTATTAGAAAGTCGTAAAGTGTGGCGGCTAAGGGGTTTTTCGGGGTGCTGATCACGAATATCGTGTTAGTTTTGATCACAGATGATGTCTTTAAGCATTTAGACCAGGTCGGGTCAGGTCAGGTCAGGTCAACCAGTAGGGGTTGTGACGGGTATTCGTAGTACGTGTCAACCGCCTCTGACAGCTTCGTAACATGTTACGAAGGCACCGAAACTACTTCGTAAATGTTCAAATGGTTGCTAAATTCGAATTCAGCTCCAAAAACTAGCCTAGAAACATGTAAAACTCGAAAAAGTGAACCGAGGTCACCCGAGGTCACCAAAGGTCAATGACCTGACCTGACCTTCAGGTTACCTTGACACCCATTCTAATGCATGGGAGCAACATCAAATCACATGTTTGAACGTTTGAAACCACGAAAAGCTTGCAAACGCGCGGCTAATGCGAGCCGACATACGCGGAATCGCGATTCCGGACAAACATGGTCTCGGAAAAGAGGTCACAGGTCAAAGGTCATTTGGGTCAGGGTCATGAAATTTTCAGGGTAGGTGTAAAATTGAACAATGAGAGGGTACTGAAAGTTTCGTCGCGATCGGCCGCTTTTTACGCGAGTTATTCGCGAAAAACCATGGGGGGTGGTCCATCCGACCCCCCCCCCCCCCCTACACATGCGAGGGTTAACGGTGGTTATCCCCGACCAGGGAGAGTCACGGCGACTCTCCCTCGCCGTGCTCGACTCGCCTTGGCACGGGTGAACGGGATAATCTGCCGGCCCTCGATCGGAGCGACCTTGGCGCACGAGCCGAAGGACGCCCTGTGAAACAAACAGCCAGTGCCGCTAAAGTGCGGGAGCTCGAGCTCAGCGCTGACCTCTGCGGAATGAAACACGAACTAGGGAAACCAGTGGGCCACGCCAGAGGGCTGTGCGGTCTGGACATTGCGCTCCGTTACTGCGGCTGCTGCCTGCTGTTGCCAAATGACTTGATCAATATAAATTATCTATGGGTGGGGAAGTGCGGAAAGGATGAAAAAATGACAAGTAAAATCGCACTTCCATTGCCGGCTGGAACGGAGCTGCTTACTTACCTACTGTAGCATCATAAGTAGGTAACTAGGTAGGTTCCTAATAGACTCTTCATCTTTTGGGCATTTTATACAATGTATGCCTAACACGGCTGGGGTCTCCAGCCGAACGCGCGGGGCTGGGGGGGGGGGGGTAAATTTTACCCCCCCCCCCTGTTATCTCCCGAACTAATGGTCCGATTTGGAAAATTCAAACGCCAATCGAAAGCTCTCATCACGAACTACTAAAAACATGTACTTAATTTAAAGTTTGAGGTCAAGGTCAAGGTCAGGTCAAGGGTACAAATTGCAAGTTTCTACAGTTTCGGCCTTGCACCGTAGTTGCCGAAGAATGGAGTCATGGACTGAGACTGATCGCCCAAAACGTGTTCTTAGGCTACCAAGACAATATTCGTTGCATACAATATCATTCAGAGGTCAAGGTCAAGGTCAGGTCAGGTCAGGTCAGGTCACCAAAAAACAAAATATAGAAAAGGGCATGTGCGACACTTGTTTTATGGGTCATTTTACTCATAGAATTCAATAGGCACACTCAATAAGTGATATGGACCACCTCTGGATGAATTTCAGGTCGAGGTCAGGTTAAGGTCAGGTCAAGTGAGGTCAAATTTTGAAGTTGGTTGTTAACCCGCGACCTGGTGGGGGGGCTATTTTTGCCCCCCCCCCTCCAGACTTTTCGATATATCTCCAGAACCGCTGCGCCGATCGTCACCAAACTTTCAGTACCCTCCCGGACATCAATTTTACACATTGTGACCAAAAATTTTTTCCAAAAGCTATGATAGGTTGGCCGGAAATGACGTCAGAGTGACGTCATGTTCTGCCGTTTTCGACCCAAAAAAGGGTTTCGCGGGAAGAGCTGTCAGGCCTATAGCTTTGCAAATACAGAAAAATATTTAGGACATAAAAGCTGTAGAAGTGACAGGGCTACAAAACTGCTATCTCGGATTTATATTTTTTTATTTTGACCCCCAAAAATCAAAAAATAGATTTTTGTGATATAATAGTCAAAAAATCCAAAACGTTTTTTGAATTTCGCAAAAACCGGAATATATGTGATAGTCCTTACCGCCTTCCATCCACATACCAAATTTTAGATTGATACCTCTTTTTTTGGCGAAGTTATAGCGAAAAAACTGTTCAAAATTGATGACGTCAAATTTTCAAACTCAATTTTTAGCAATTCTAGACCTCGTAGTGCAAAACAAAGACCACCATTAGACTCCCCGCGACGAGCTGCATCGAATCGATACCCATTTTATGCAAAAATATCAACTTTGAAATTTGACCTTTTTTGACCTGACCTTGACCTGACCTCCACCAGAAAGTGACCTAAACCGTACCTGATGGTCTTATAACCAACACCATTGGGTTGGAAATGAAAAACTGGCCATAAAACATGCATCGCACAACCTTAGTAAAGTTGGTTTCATGTGGTGACCCTTGGTGACCTTTGGTGACCTGACCTGTGACCTGACCTGGTATGACCAGTGACCTCTAATAGCAACATATGTACTAGACAACTGACGTCTTATCGCTGATTTTCGACAAAATGCGTTTTACTCGGTGTTATAGCGCTTTCCCTAGAAGCCCCGTGAACGGGGAAACATTTTATCTTTGACCTGACCTGTGACGTCATCGGTGACCCCGAGGTCAATAAAATTTGGTTTCCCTCGACAAATTTGACAGGGCTATCGAACGCCGTTTGAATTTTGCGGATCCGTCCAGTAGTTTCGGAGATACGAGGGGGGGGGGGGGGCAAAAATAGCCCCCCACCAGGTCGCGTTATAAATAGACCCCACCAGGGCGCGGGTTAAGGCCTAAAAAGGTGTCTATCTGATGCAGTTTTTCACGGCGAATCGAATGGTGCTATTTTTGTTTCCGTACGAGGTCTAGAACTTCCAAAAAAGTCATTTTTCAAAAATTTTGTGTGTCGTGACGTCATAAAATTTTGAATAACTCCCACATTTTTGAACCGATTTTTCTAAAATTTGGTATGTAGGTGCACATAGACCACTTCTCTGACATATATTCCGTTTTTTCGATAGTTCCAAAATTTGGGATTTTATAATGATTTTCCCAAAAAAGTCAGTTTTTTGAAAAAATTAGGCCAAAATCCAAAATTTTCAAAAAACCGAGATAGCCATTTGATAGACAAAGTAAAATTACGTATAACCTTTTATGTTACGTCTTGATTCCTTTAAAAATGAAGATGTTAGCGGCGTTTGAACTTTTGCCGTTTTTGAGGCGAAAATGGCGAACATGACGTCACTAAAACGTCAATTTCTCAAAAATTTTCCGACTGATTTCGCTCAAATTTTCAGGGAACGTGTCAAATTGATGTAAGAAAAGGTACTGAAAGTTTGGCGGCGCTGCGCGCCGCCGTTTTTGAGATATCGCAAAAATTCGCGAGGGGGGGGGGGGGTAAAATTTACCCCCCAGCCCCGCGCGGGTTAACCCTCGCCGGACCTTTTGGTTTTCTACATACGCGCCGGCAGAGCGGAGGGGAACGGGTACGAACCCCCTCGCCGTTTCGCCCCTGGTGGAGCTAGCGCGTCGCGGAAAAAAACGAGCGTGTGCGCCGTTTGAGACGCAGAAATTGGTACTCGATTTTAAGGTCCTAGGTCAACCGGTGACCTCTGAGGTCAGGTCAAGTGCCCCAAGGTACGGTTCAGTTTTTGGTGAATAACTTTGCAGAAAAAAAGGCGGCAGAGCCGCGATTTGCCTCGCTCAGGCGCGTCGAATGATATACTTTTTTCGGGTCACGTCAACTTAGAGTGTTGACCTCAGGTCAAGGTCAGGTCAGCACCCCCAGATCACGAAGTTGGTCGAAAGAGGTCATGTCGCATATCATTCGATTCGGCAGGTCTTCCTGAGTCCATTGGTGGCTTTCCCGACTCGCTAGCTCAATTTGATCGGGAGTTATTGACGAAAAACTTATATGACCTTGATGACGTCATAAATGACGTCACGCATGGTCAATATTGCAAAAGTGACGCATCTAACCTTGCAAAGAGTGCATCAAATCACGAGTCTTTGTGCTTGACATAGTTGGAGATCGTTCCCGGCGCCAGAATAGCAGTTTTCATTTTTTACCCATTGACTTATAGGTAATGGTGAGGTCACGAAAATGACCTGGCCTCATATGACCTTTGGAAAAATCCTAGATATACAAGTTGTGAGACTCATAATGGATACTAGATCCTGCAAGTTTCATTTCCCTGTGACATTTCGACTTTCGTCTGGCAGTGAGGGCGTTGCGAAGTTGCGACATCTGAAGACCGTGCAGAGGTTCACTTATGACGTGATAGGTCAGTGACCTGACCTGACCCAAAAATGTGATTGGTGTCAAAAGATCCGACTTGAATCAAAGGTCAGGTATGCCAAGTTTCAGCTCTTTATCGCCAGCGTGTTCGGAGCTAGCGCGAAAAAACCCTATGGGGGGAGGGGGCGGCACCCGCCCCCCTCCCCTCGGCCGGCGAGGGTTAATTTGACATTTATCTTTTGATGCTGATCTTTCGTATAAATACAGATTACTAAAAAAAAACGTCTTTATTTTTCTAATTCCTCGACTCAATCATCAGTTGTTCAGCAGAGCGGCAGCACCAGTAGAACGCCGGCGATCAGGGCGCCACCTGTAGTCGGCCGGGCTTCTTTCCGACTCCCACCAGACTCGGCCAGGTGGCAGCACCGTCCGTCGCCGCAGCGGTACAGACCCTCTGAGCAAGTAACTTCGATGGTGGCGTTTGTTTGAGGAGCAGCGGCCAGCCCGGTAGTCTGCGCTGTTGCATGGGCTAATATTTGACCACTGATCAGCAGAAGCAGCACGAGACTCATCTGTGACAAATAGCAAGCAGCCGAGATTGTCAGTTGGGATTATGTAGATCATCATTAGCCAATAACTGCTGGCAGCTGAAATACGATCGTATATATGTAGGTACGGTAAGCGAAGCAAGCACACAGTATGTACCAGTAGGTATACCAGGTTACTCACCATCAGCCATTTCAGTACATAGGTATTTTACCTAGCATAGGCGGCGGAACGAGAGGGGGCACCGGGGCGCTGTGCCCCCCTTTGATTTTGACATTTTAACATTATCCCTATGGGCGTTGCATGGAAAGAGTGGGACCAAAAGTCGGCGGTGCCACACCCCCCCCCTCTTCATTGAAGGCGTCATTGATACGGCAGATGCAATGTCATTGGCATTGCCAATATCACCAAAATAACAATAAGAGGAAGACATAATTTTAATTTCTCATCACATGGTCTTCAGAAAGCATGCAGGTAAATATTATCCATTGCGTTACATGGTTTACGAGAAGAATGATTGAGACGATAGTCGAATAGCCGAGCTGAATTATAGGTATATCCGTTTTTTTTTTTGTTATTTGATGCGGATTGCAGGCTATAAAAAACTTACTCACCACTCGTCCTGTCCACTGGTAGGTATCTAGCAATGTTGTTAAGCTTCTTATTCCCGTCACCGGCTAGAACGTCCCACTGATCGACCCAGCTGCCCCACTACACTGCCGAAACCAGCTCCAGATGAGTGACTAACTCAGATAGCAGCGCATCCTGGGCCGGCTGCTATCGGTGCCGGGTGCAGTGCCACCGGAACGACGTCACTAACGGAGCTGAGACCGATTGTGACGCAAATGTGATATATTTTTCATGTGAATATGATTCACAGTGACGAACAGCTAAGCAATCATATTCCCACAAATATTTCAACCCCCGCCGGCCGAGTCCACGTTTTTTCGCGATAGCTCCAAACACGCCGGTGATAGAGAGCTAAAACTGTACACACCTGACTTTTGATTCAAGCCGGATCTTGTGACACCAACCACATTTTCCGATCAGGTAAAGCCACTGAACTATGACGTCATAAGTGAACCTCTGCACGGTCCTCAGATATCGCAGCTTCGTAGCGCCCTCCGTGTCAGAGGTCAGAGGAACTTTTATAGAAAGATGAAACTTACAGGACGTAGTATCCTCCAGAGGTTTCAACACTCGTATATCGTATATCTCGGATGTTTTCTAATGAGGTCACATGAGTTCAGGTCGGTCACGTGACCTCGCTATGACCACAACCGCGCGGATGGTCTCATTGTGTTCAGCTCGTCAATGCGCATCGAATGGTATACATGATGACCTCGAGGTCACATGACCTGAGGTCAACCTTTGACTTTGACCTTTCTAGGTCATCACATATATCAATCAATGCGGATTGACGAGAGGATCACGACGGTGCCATTAGTTTGTTCCTAGCTTGGCTACCTGGAAAGGTATTCGAGAAGAAGAAAAAACTTCATTTATAGCGCCGCCATTTTGACTTTTTGACCCCTGTGACGTCATCTTTGACCTGACCTGAAAATGACCTCGGTAAAAATTGTAGTCCTTGTCCGTGCGTACCCCATGCCGTTTACCGTTTGTCGCTATAACTTATACCTTGCTTCGTTTTCGAGATCTCAGGGGGGGGCGGTCAACCGCCCCCCCCCCCCACCGGCGGTTCTAAGTTGGCGCAGACCCCCGTCGGTGCGCGGGTGCAGACATGCATTAATATTGCATCGATAATTGCTTACTTTCGCGGGTAGCCACACGACGTTCCATTTCGACATGATAGGTAAGCAGTTTTGTAATAAATCGAAATCGTCCTTCAGAATCCGTTATCAGACTGCATTGACCGCAAGTAATAGCTGCGGGTATAATGACATGCGACCAGAATATCTTGGCCATTGTTCTCGCACGGCGACCTTTAACTTATCTTAGGATCTATAAAAATGTCAGTAATAAGTGAAAGCAGTTGGCATGCATGATCGAATGCGAATCTTATCCCGAGTATAGCAGTAGTTGCAATGCATAGTAATCAGCATTACAAATCAGCCGAAACAGTCATCTCAAGATCTTTTTGAAACGGTCCAGAGACATGTTTTCGTTATTCGTTGTTGTTTTGCAGACATGGATCGATATTCTTGATAAGTAAAGGTAGTTGCTTTGGTAGGTCATTTAGCACAATCCTATGTTTATCGTTTTTCAAGAGCTGCATAAAATATTCGTGCCTTTATTATGTTCCGAATCATTGTGGTCGCATCTGCCTTGTATTTGCTTCGATCAGCTGTAGGTAGGTATGTTTTATTCTCAACATGCTTTTTACATGTTTACATATATATGTCATAGTTGAACACAAAACCTCGATGTAGGTAATATAATTTGAATATCTAAAATGTTATCCAAAATTTTAAATGTATGCATATGACTACTATTCAAGTTCAGTTGAATTATTGACACTGGACAAATAAAAAATAACCGCTTGGGAACGTGTGGATATTTGAAAAAGTGGCAATAATTTCAGCTCTTAACCTTCCAGGCGGTGGGGGGGGGGCATTTTTTTGCCCCCCCTTTACGTTTTTCGATATATCTCGAGAACCGCTGCGCCGATCGTCACCAAACTTTCAGTACCCTCCCGGGAGCAGCTAGCGCACATGGTGACCAAAAATTTTTCCAAAGGCTATGATAGGTTGGCCGCTAATGACGTAAGAGTGACGTCATTTTTGCCATTTTCGACCCAAAAAAGGTTTCGCGGGAAGAGCTGTCAGGCCTACAGCTTTAGAGATATAGAAAAATGTTTTAGACATAAAAGGTGTGAAATCAAAAGGGCTACAAAACTGCTATTTCGGTTTTTCGAATTTTTTGGATTTTGACCCCCAAAAATCAAAAAATAGATTTTTTGAATATAATAGCCAAAAAATCCAAATTTTTTTTGAATTTCGAAAAAACCGGAATATATGTGATAGTCCCTACCGCCTTCTATCTACATACCAAATTTGAGATCGATACCTCGTTTTTTGGCCAAGTTATAGCGAAAAAACTGTTCAAAATTGATGACGTCAAATTTTCAAACTCAATTTTTAGCAATTCTAGACCTCGTAGCGCAAAACAAAGACCACCATTAGACTCCCCATGACGAGCTGCATCGAATCGATACCCATTTTATGCAAAAATATCAACTTTGAAATTTGACCTTTTTTGACCTGACCTTGACCTGACCTCCACCAGAAAGTGACCTAAACCGTACCTGATGGGCTTATAACCAACACCATTGAGTTGGAAATGAAAAACTGGCCATAAAACATGCATCACATAACCTTAGTAAAGTTGGGCTCATGTGGTGACCCTTGGTGACCTTTGGTGACCTGACCTGTGACCTGACCTGGTATGACCAGTGACCTCTAATAGCAACATATGTACTAGACAACTGACGCCTTATCGCTGATTTTCGACATAATGCGTTTTACTCGGTGTTATAGCGCTTTCCCTAGAAGCCCTGTGAACGGTGAAACATTTTATCTTTGACCTGACCTGTGACGTCATCGGTGACCCCGAGGTCAATGAAATTTGGTTTCCCTCGACAAATTTGACAGGGCTATCGAACGCCGTTTGAATTTTCCGGATCCGTCCAGCAGTTTCGGAGATACGGGGGGGGGGGCAAAAAATTGCCCCCCCCCCCCACCGCGTGGAAGGTGGCTGGTAGGCCCACCGCCTGCCGGGTTAACTTTCAGCAAAGCTTTCACAAATATTTTAATATGTAAAGCCAGTCTGTATATTTTTGGTAAGGCAACTGATCTCAATAACCCTAGCTCTTGATAAATGGAATCATCTTTTTGCTTTTCCTCTTACCCAACAATCAATGCAAACTGTATAACAATTATGCTCCATATGGTCTCACTACTCTCATACTTGATAAATGGAATTCTCTTTTTCCTTTTCTTCTAACCCAACAATCAATGCAAATTGTATAACAATTATGCTCCATATATGGCCCCACCATTCTCATATTCGTGTCATCGGCTGATCTTTGAAAGCCCGCCGACATCTTTTGTCCAGTTGTTTCCAAAAAAACGTTGTTGACTCCTATCATGTATTGAAGTCTGTTGTTACAAATCAAATTTCATCAGTGTATCTGTAATCGTGACAGATATACATTGTAAAAGTAACGATAAGAAACAAGCCATAGCTCATACACAGGACGTGCTTACATTCGTTGTAAAAAAGACATGTACTCAATATTGCATCGATGTCGGTCATTTTTACAGTCATAACTTATTACGATGCACAGACACTGTTCGGAAAGCGGTAGCCAGACCATCGCAGAGCAAAATATTTGGACAGCCTGCTCACTTGTTGGGAAACAAGACGCAAAACGTATGCATACTTTGCTTACACTCTAAATCCATGTTTTTCTTGTTTTGACGAAAAGATTGACACATTCTTGAACAAGTACACCAGCTGTCTACAACTTCTGTTTTCAGATGACATACTATGAACACAGATCGTCCATTTTACACCAATCCTTTCCTCTGAGCAGCCTAACGACATTCAATTTTCTCACCGAACGCGCAAGAGCGCGGATCGGTGACGGATAAAATGACACCACTGCCGACCCTGCTCTCACCACATCGGCACACTGGCACTGGCACATCCTCATCTCATCAAACACTCGGGGTAGCGCAGGGCAGCATACTCTCCCCCTCTTCAATCACTCAGGTGGCGCAGGAGGCGCGGCGGCACCCTCACGGAAAGTGTTCGCTCACAGCCGTCCCGGCCAGCACGCGCAGACACACAGACACACGCAGCATATCCACGCGTCGTCTTCGCTCGCTCCCGTCCATGCTTAGAACCCGAGTGCTCTCAGAGCCCTGATGTCCACGTCACCATAGTACTCCTCACTGAAAACAGAAGAGACACTTGGTCAGCGGATGTGTGGAAACAGATTCTGTGGGAGGAAATGCAACCGTTTTTTATCAGTGTTTTTATCAGCAAAGACGATGCTCTTGGTCAGCAATGTGTCAGATGACGCCTCGCATGATTTCTGTAATACCTATACTGCTGCGAGATGTATGCCTTTGAATCGCTTAACTAAATATCCCCTTGAGATTTCCCTCAACGAGATGCAACTCAATGTTCTTGCTGTCATACATTCTCGAGTGTCCATGTTTTGAGCGTAAACAATGACGCTAGACTAAATTGTCTGCAAGTTGCAACAACCGTATTTAGCTGAGCCTTAGCTTTTGTACTCTCAGTACTTCAGTAGAATTAACTGGAAATCAAAATAAATATTTTTGCCACAAACTCGCAACATGCAATGACGGTGCTCAAACAAGGAATGTCGCCGTCCCCACTTCACTTTTAGACATGCTGATTTAAACAGGCTACACATCAGCAGCTCAAGCAAGCGCACTGTCCTATCAAAGACGTCAAGTCGTCATGACAGCTCCGCGTTCCTCCTAGCACGGCGTTCCCTCATCGCATCGCGCTGCCGCTCGAGGCGTCGTACCACGGTCACAGGGGCGCCCTGTTCGGGCCATCACTGGATGTTGCGGCTCAGCTCGAGCGCCGACGAGCGCTCCACCTCGGGCTCCAGCTGCTTGGAGACACGTCCAGAGGTGCCGCTGCCGCCGCCCAGCGCACGCATCGCCAGCTCCTTGACGTCGAGGTCGCCGTAGTATTCCTCACTGGGGGAGGCGAGCGCCAAGCGAGAGGTCCGGACAAGTTAGAGAGGCACACAGGTGGATGGCGCATAGCGCGTGCTTCATGCAAGGTTGACAGAGCCACGGTCATACAGAAAGCCGCAGGCTTCAGTAAGCCGAAGGCGAAAACAAGAAACAGATAGAAAGTAGAACGGTGTTTGTTAGTAAAGCGCTCAGACGGCGTTTACTGATAAAAGAAGAAAGAATTGAGAACATGATTAAAGACATCGGTCGATGGTATGCGAGAAAATATGTACAGATGAATTATGAATACATTAATGGACAAGTACGGGACAATTAAAACAGTTGTCAAGGATATGGATCGTGCACATGCCTAACGCTCAAGAACCTTAGCATGCATAGTTTGCCTTATTGGGGTAGCTATGTCGAAAAATATAAACTCGATAGCATTGTTAAAAAGGAATGTGATGAACAAATGAAAATGTTACAGTGGAAAGTGTTACAAAATATATGTTTTATCTAAGGGTGCACTAAAACAAACACAAACAGGCGAGTTTCCATGCGCGCTGATTTGCAAGTTCAGGTAAAGTGCTGCTAGCTTTTCAGCAAGGCGAGGATCGTCAGAGATAATCGGTATATGCCGTGCAGGGTTGCGCACAGGACAATTATGTAATGCAGCAGGCATCGTGCAGTGGATAGCTTCAGAAAATCTGCGTCCAGTTGGCTGTTTCCACGCCAATCCTCCGCTGGAGCCAGACAATCCGATTACTGCCTCTTGAGACGGCCTGAGATCACGAAGGTGCCGCCGGTGCGGTCAGCTCTGTCGACTCACGGGTGTCAGGTCAGGGGCCACTCACCAGCCGGGCACGTCAGCGGGGTCGGCGCACTGGCCGCTGCCGTCCAGGTCTCCGATCTTGAAGACGGTGCCGAGCGGGCATCCGTACTCGCGGGGTGCGCCACCCATGCACACGTAGTAGAGCCTGCAGTCCTCCTGGTGGGCGTACAGCGAGTAGGTGCCCAGACCGTTGCCCTCAGCCGGGCACTGGAAGTCACCCTCCTTCTCTGTAAAGCGACACCGAGAGAAAAATCAATGGTGGTTCACCAAGCGAATGACGTATTGAACGAATACCTGAGGACATGACTACCGTTTTCCAAAATACACGTAAGACCTAAAAAGACGATGTCAAAATACAAATCTAAACATTCCGTTCATTCCATTATCCCTGAGGTCTTCTACCTTGAAGCTGTAGTCCCATAACATCACTGGCAAAACTGTCACGCTACGTTACAGCCCAACGCCTAAATGTCCCTCTCTTGTCCCTCCACCATCACACTTACCGGACTTCTTGCAGGCGGCGACCTGATCGGCCCAGACGCAGACGCGCTGCTCCGAGTCGTAGGCCAGGCCCGGGGGGCACTCGTACTTGTTGGCCTCGCCAGCCCAGCACGACCAGAACGTGTTGCAGTTGGCCTCGTCGGCGAAGATACCGTACTGGCGCGGGCAGTTGGGCGAGGAGATCGGAGGCTCTGCGGACAAAGAGATGTTCGGTGATTAACCCGCGCCCGGCTGGGGGTCCTGGATTTCCACGCCCTGCTGGGGGGGGGGTGTTTGAACACCCCCCCCCCCTTGTAACTCGGCTCCTGGGCCACGTAGCGATACGCGGAAGGCGGCGTTCGAAAGAGCGTCAAAAATAATGACGAAATCACTTCGGTCAATTTTTTGGTCAGGTCAAAGGTCAGGTCACCAGAGGTCATTGAAGGCAAAATTTCGCCGATTTCCAGGTCGAATGTCGAAAATTTCCAAGAAGCCAATGCATAACTCGAGAACCAATAGAGTTACAGCGCCGCGGAAAAGAGCATTCGATAGCCCTATTAAAGCCCTTTCTGAGTAATTCTCTCAGATTTGACCTAACGTCAACGGTTTTGCCTGCAGGGGCAAAAATTGCAAAAATAGCCGATTTTTTTCGGAAACAGTTTTTCTGCAATAACTATTGACTCAAGCCTTGTACGAGCTTACTTTTACCGGCATTGTGTTCCTCTCGTCAAGACGCATCGAATGAACTATAAGTTGACCTTGAAAGGTCAACTTGAAAATTTGACCTCAGGTCAAGGTCATGACCTGACCGGAAAGGGTCATGTTGCATATCAGTCGATCCGTATCGTCAAGCTGAACACATCTAAGGCGTTTTCATCGCTCTAGCATGCCTCTATCAAAAGTTATTTGCGAAAAACTGTTAGATACCATTCGTGACCTAAGATGACCTCAGGGCATAAACAAGGGTCACTGACACCATTTTCATGTTCAGTGTGTCTGAACCACTTGTAATTCGGTGTTTGGGAGTGTTTATAATGTCTTTTGTCCAAAAGAGGCGCATTTCAATTTTCTCCCATTGACTTATAATGGGGAGGTCGCAAAATTGACCTGACCTTAGGTCATCGATATCAAAATTCTGAGATATACATTTTGTACATGCTATTGCTCTTAGCAATCGCTGAAAGTTTCAAAGCGATCGGTCACTCGGTGTAGCTATGACAGACATTGAAACTTTTTATGAGGTGATGTCACTTCAAGTGACCTGGTGACCTGACCTTGGATGACCTTGGTCTGAAATTTTCACAACATGTGTAAAATTGATGTACGATAAGGTGTACCAAAAACGGCGGCGCTCCGCCGTTTTTGGAAGGAAACTTCTCAGCCAGGTTATCTAATTCATCAAACTTCTCAAAGGCATTGGCCACATCACTGACGCATTGCACTCAGTAGCTACCTGACCGAGGCTCTCCATTCCATTCCCGCGAAGACGACTTCGCCACCCTCCCGGCCATCCTGTTGACTCACCGAGCTCGGTACGCTGCCCGCACTGGACGTTGTGCAGGTAGTCGCAGTTCTCCTTCTCGTAGTTGGGGTCGGTGTCGTCGAAGGCCAGTCCGTTGCCGCAGGTCTTCAGCGTGGCGACGCCCTCTTCGCACGCCCAGTACTTGTCACAGCTGACATCGTGGGGGAAGAAGCCCGGCAGCTGGTCCGGGCACTCGAAACCCGCCTGACCCAGAGCTGAAAGAGGAGAGTATCGGTTAGACAACGTGTCACTTGTGGTGGTAGGCGAGATGACAAGAAGGTGTGGCGCTGAAGCTGATGGCAACGTGCATAGTTGCGTGCATTCACTAATGCCGATATCTAAAACCTTTGATTGCTGCTGTGGTACTATGACATGCCCTATATGCGTTGGCACGTTGTCTCGATTACATAAGAGCACCGCCTACATTATTTCCCAGTTTTCAGCCTGCATTGCGCCACATCCGCTAAACTCAATGGCTGACATTAGTCGATATGCGGATCATTACTGTCACGGTAATGTTTGATGAAGCAGTTCATCCCCGTAGGTAGGCGAACAATGCGTGCGCCGACCCGTACTGTGTCAAAACGACGAACGATGCCCTTGAAATGTGTACTCATACTGTCATGTTATGGTGCCTGCCCCAATTGATAACATAGCGAGGTAGCTCGCTGACAAAGGCCGAATCCTGGCCATGCATCGTCACAACTCACAAAGGTAATGGGTATGCCATCATTTAATGCTCGAGTGGCAATTTGATCTCGTTAACTTCGATGCAGACATGGTAGCAAAACTACATATAAGGCTAACTAATTATACAAATAACTGATTTTCCCATACCTGCTACATTGCATGATTAAATCGAGACATCCAGGCATTTTAAAGGCACGTGCACTGTACCACACTTTTCAAAGTTTAATGCAGTGCTTTAATATTGCCAGCCGTGTGGTTCAAGGGGTGTGGTTAAACGCGTTGAACCACACGGCTGCTGACGTCACTATCAATTATAGTTGTGAGCTTTTTGGCAGGTATGGGAAACACCTTCCAGCCCTAAGGCCGGGAATTCAATAAATGTCACCTCGCTTTTTTAGCGAAAAGCACCTCGGGCCTAACGGCCCTCGGAGTTTTCGCTAAAAAACCTCGGTGACATTTATTGAATCATCCCGGCCCCGGGCAGGAATATATTAACCCTCGCGGGCCCGGGGGGGGGGCGTTTTTCGCCCCCCCTGGCGAATATTTGCGATAGCTCCCGAACGCTTAGGGATAGGAAAGCGAAACTTTCAGTACCTTTTCTCCCATCAATTTGACATCTTCTGAAGTAAAAAATTTGGACCTAGCCCCCTTGATGACGTCACAAGGTCCATTTTTCTAGACCCCTGCACGGCAAACTTCGGCGTCACAGACGCAAATTTCAAATAGCTGCTAAAAATAGAGTTTTAGAGATAAAGACAAATTACGAGCACGGTTGTGTAGCGTTTGGCCTAGAGAAAAATAGAAAAATAGTTTTGGTGACCTGAGGTCAGAGGTCAGGTCAACGACCCCGAAATGTGGTTTTAGTTTTTCGCAAATAACTTCGACAAAAATGGTCCTAGAGCTACGGCAGTGGTACCATCGCATTCGCCTTGTCAAGCCGCGTCGAATGATATATATTTTGTTCGGAAAAGGTCAAGTTTTATGTTGACCTCATGTGACCTCGAATGACCTCTGGTTGACCTTGACACATGAAAGGTCGTTTATGATGGATTTGTACCCGCTGATCACGAATCTGGCATCTATTTTCCTCTAAGCCTTCATTTAGAGCTTCCGGATGGCAAAATTGTCTTATTTATTAGTACTAACTTGAATTAGTGAAATAGCCTCTAGCAGGGATACTCTTCAGTGACCTTGACCTTTGAGCAGCCTTGTATCGTAAGAGGAACCACAAATAGGGAACTGATAAGCCTCAAAACATTTTAAAACTTCTTGAAAGTTAGCACGCAAGATGTGCGAAAAAGTGCCAAGTTTGAGGTCAATTTTGAGCGTGACCTTGACCTTGACCTTTGATTTTGAGCACATGTTCGGAATCCTCAGATTCTCTTCTTTCGTTTGACACCCAATTTTGCCGGTTTGATGCCGCCTGCCGTCCTCTAGAAGGCTTACTTTGAGATCACTACACATGTGCCGGTTTTTGCCTTTGACCTTGACCTCTGACCTTGAAAATTGACCTGAGGTCAAAAATTTTAGGTGCTTTAGAATCGTCTCGTAAGGACCTTTCGTTTGGTATCGCTTTTGTTTCCGTAGCTCCCTTATTTACGGAGTTAGACAGGGGGGGGCGAAAAACGCCCCCCCCCCCCGGGCTGCGGTGGTTGGGATTACCCCCCGGGCCCGGCCGGGTTAAACCAGCAATCAAAATCTCACATGTCGATGCGGGCATGAGCCATGAATTTTCTAAAAGAATGAAAGAGCTTTTATGCATATCGGAATGACCGGCAAGTGTTGCCAATTGTGACGAGAATGGCTGGTGCACTTACTTTCCAGCACGCACTAGCGTGCAGCGTGCGGAAACGTTTGCGTGCTGGATATTAATTTGGTCACGCCCCCATTATCATAAGAAAGAATGACTATTATAGGGCGAGAGCTAGCAGTAGAGACGCTTTTTAAGAATTCGGGAAAAGCTCTTGGAATGCGAAGCCTCAAAAAGAGACGCAGTCATTTATTTATGCGACTGCCGTTACATTATCGGATATAAACTAATCGCTTTTTTTGTACGGTTTGATGCATTGAAATTCATCTCCCGATAAGCTTCTGGCAAGCGTTATGCTAAAATTCTCCCCTAACGGGTGCAGGGCGGTTGACGTTACATCCTAGATATTTAACGAGTCTCGGCGATAAGAGTCACGAGAAAAGCCCTTCTTAAGCAGCTGTGGTCTCCAACTGGAAGCCATGCAAAAGTGGGCGGCTTATTCTATAACAATCCAGCCAACCAAACTGGTTGTCGGGGAGATGGTCCTCATGGGCAGCTATGTACTGGTGTGCAGAGAGAACTCAGCCCTGCGCAAACCACCCAGCTCTTTCCAAGAGTGCACAAAAGGTGAGACAATTTTGGACAATTTAGGCTGATCAATTTTGGACAATTTAGGCTGATCAGTTTTGGACAATTTAGACTAATCAATTTTAGACATACATCCCGAAAGGCAAAAGCACATTTGCGTTTAGGGAGCTGAACTGTCAACGATCGTTAGGCCACACTGAGACAGTTTCACACAGTGGCACTGGCGGGAGCGTGCATAAAATCAAATTGCATACAGAACGTTGTGAAACGTTTAAGAAGAATGCAGAATTTAAATTTAGATAACAATAGCGCTGCATCATGATTAGAAACTGCTGCCAGTGCAATGATATTGCATCAGTCGCTTTGCATTCAACACGAAATTCTGCAGCACACCAAGCACAAAAAAAAACGTTTATCGCCATGCCGCTTCAAGCGTCCCTTCTCTTTCTATGCCTTCCTGTGCTGCTTAAGATTGGAGGAAGATAATGACCCAAATTAAAATAAGATTAGATCTCTACAGGTCGCTGTGGAAAATAAGATGTTGCACAAGCCAGATGACCGACTCATGGAACACTGGGTCATAGCTGGGAACGAACTACACGTTTGAATGGTCTGTCGTGTCCAACTATGCTGGTTACACGTGTGTTTTGGCACCGAACTGAGGGTCATTGAGTTACCGTCGTGCTCGCTTTACGCGGTCAATGATCATGTAATTCTGTGCATGCTGGTGCTCAGCAGACAGTCCCCAGCAGCTAACAACGTCAATTTCAAAACATGAGTAGAAAAAACCTTGCATACAATGATGGATACATATGTTTTGGATCAGGATCGTGCGTTTTCGACATCCTTGGACAAATATGGTTATTTTTCTCTCGGAGATCGATGTTCCATTCTTCATAAAATCGTGAAGCGTCGGAGATCGTTTCGGAAAAACAGTCGTGAGGATGCGCCGGTTTAGTGAAAGTGCTCAATAACCCGTCTTCCTATCAGCTGATCTGAGCGTTCCAGGTTAGCCATGAGTCATGTATCGCTCATCTGATCTCCAAAACACGGTGATGAGACCCATTGGTAATTTCCGTCGTAACTCAACCGACTGCGTCATGCCTGATTACCCACTCATACACGAAGCCACATAAATTCCCATTCCGTGAGTCACACACCGAGCACCTGTCTTGGTGTCCTAGTCTCAGTGTGCTACTAACGAACACGGTTATCTCCAGCATGTGCAGTGCAGCGCGAGGCACCACATCTCCGGTGGATGTTCCCGTTCGGCTTCGATGAGCACTCACACGGCTTACTTCCCTCGGCCGTCTCACTTCTCCCCGCATCTGCCGGCTCGCTCCGCGGGGCTGACTGAACCAAATCTCCAGCGGACGGCGGTGCTCCCCTCACCGGGTCCCTCGGTCGCGCCCCACCAGCGCTGCACGAGCCTAACCGGCGCCGCCCGCTCCTTTCACCGTGCACAGCCGCCCAGGAGAAAGTTGGCTCCCTAAGACGACGGCGGCCCGCTGCGCCAGTCTTGTGCAGGCAGTCACCTAATGCGTAAACATGACCCCAGTGGTCGGGAGGGACCGGGCGTTCCGGCGCCCCAGGGCTCGCCGGCGCAGGAGGCAGGGGCGAGCGATGGACCAATCGGCCAGCCACAGCGACGGCGACGGCAAAAACGGGAGTGGCCGTTAGACCCAAACGAGCTGCGCCGCCTTACGCAACCGGTCAGCTGAGGCAATGGATGGACCCGGGGCTGCTCTCAGATTGGCCTCAGAGGCGCGGGCGCACCTGAGAAGCACGTGACGAAGATCACCGATATAAAGTTGTGAGGCAAGAGGGCATTCGCACTCCGGAGGACAGCGCTATCCATCCATCTGGCGATTCGGCAAGAGGAAAATGTCATGTTGTGAAATATAGGCGACATATTTCTTAGCGCTTGAAGAATTGGCTCTGAAATGGAAAGTCCACTTCTCCTCGTCTCGAACAATCTGTGATAAGAACTGATCGTTCCGTCCAGAATATTGTGAATATATTCCTGGTGTACGATTTCACCAGAAGTGGACCTGCATCACTGCAAAAGCAGTCTGCTCTGACCGCAAATCACTCTCTCCTGTCCATGCATACATCAGTCTACAAACTGTCCCCGTTCACCGGCTGATCCAGCGGTTCGACATCCCCACTCTCCACCTCATCACGCATGCAGCCTCAAGGCTGCGGTCGTGGGCGATCCGCCTGCGGTCAAAGTGATAGCTGGTGCCGCGACACCCTCTCCGCCCAGTCTGGCCTGCAGGGACGGCCAGATGGCCACAGACCACCCCCAGGGCTGGGGCGTGTCCCACGCACCTGGGTGAGGGGCGTCCTCTCACCATCCTCAAGGCTGCCGCCAGCCTCCGGTCCCTCCACCCCATCTGGAGGCGCGCCCTGAGGCGTCAGTGCGCCGCTACGTGCTCGGCCTCGCCCTACTGATGCCAGTGGTCAGTGGCCATTCATTGTTACTTGTCACAGGGTGGAGGCGGATATTTGGAAACAGCCAGCGCTGCATTTCGGCGAGCGAGGCCGGGTAATCGAAGCGGGGCCAGCGATGTCGAATGAGCCCGACCGCTACCGAAGATTGCGCGAGCTGGCCCACGCGAGACGGCGCTCCGACCGGAAGCGATCAAGGTGTCGCAAATTAAAATGTCTCGGTCCCGAGGTCAGCTGAGGGACTTTCACTGGCCGACAGGGCTGTCGGCGGTGGGCCCCCGCGACTGGACTGGACCCCCGCGACCGCTGGACAAGTGGACACTCTCGGACACCGTCGAGGATCACACGACACCAATACGCAACACCTCGCCGGCCGGCGCCGGTCGGCGGTGCTGGTTGCACCTTCGCCTGAGGCCAGGCAGTGTTTCTCAACACGGGACTGTCCGACCGGCCAGAGTAAAGACCTCCCTTCACTTCCCTCCATCAGGCTGACATTACGAGCCAGGTCGCGACACTTGGCCACAGTTTGCCGCTTACTCGGTCAGAAGTGACGGCGGAGCGGGCACCGTCTTACTGACACGGGTCACCAGGTCACCGACACGCGCTGCTGGGTCACAAGCACGCGCCACCGGGTCAGAGCCACGCATCGCTGGTTTATCGACAAGCGTGGCTCGGTCACAGTCGAGTGCCGTTGGGTCATTGTAGCGTGTCTGGCTAGATGTGGTGATTGACTAAGCCCACCACAGACTGACGGTTAGTACGAATAGAACTCGGCCATGATGAGAGTGTGATACGAACAGACGCGGTTCGTTGATTTGGAACAGATTGAACGACTTCTGATTTTAGACAGATTGCATGGAAGCACTAGGAAAATTGCAGTTACATAAACGATAACATGCATGCCGACACAAGATTTTCGTTTCTGGCAAGAATGTAGTGGGCGTAACAAGCCACTTAGCTTTTATGACTTCGTGACCAATAAAATTATGTTATCTCACCAGCAGCGCTGATGTGATTGACGGACTTGTTATTGAACGTCCTAGTGAACAAACCAATTCACTGTCTCAAAATACCTAATTGTTTTCATAGACAAAATTTCCAGGAAGTTGACTACTAAAACAAATGTGAGGTAGGCAAGTCATTGCCTCAATAAAATGCAGACTAAATTAATGGTTTTCTTCGAGGAAAAGGTCAATGGTTCTTCACGTATTTAGAAATGCAGACTAATACAAAATAACAAATAAATTAACGTATGTTGACCCTCACAGCTCTCCATACTGCTTAGTTCATAAAGGATTACCAAGCGCTGAGGATTTTCACCATGCATCGGCCAGAGACACGAAATAAGTCCAGACAAGTGTCAATGACACAGCTATGAGCCAGCGTGCTACGGTGACCTGACAACCGAAACAGTGGCCGTCGCAGTGACCTGAAATAACCAAAAACTGTGACCTCGTAAGACCTGACATGACCTTTAAATGCACCAGTGATTACTGGTCAGTGGTCGTGCAATTAACCCGATATGAGCCTTATCAAGTCAGCTACTAGCCGATGACCCGAAATCTGATAGAAGCGTGCCATTGACCTGATCTGAGCCGGATAGAGTCAGTGACCGTATCGCTATCCACCGCTACTGTTTATGACCGTCACCGTGACCAACAGCGACGAGCGAACGAGCGCAGCCGGTCCGCAGCTGACATCGTTTCACCGCGCAGCATTTATCAACCATCTCCGAACCGATTTCAGCGTTCGAACGGGGCTCAATTTGTAAGATGACCGGGAGGTGTCATAGAAATCGGCGTGAGAAGGCGTTTTTAACGGGGTTACGAGAAAATCCAAGGAGTTCCAGGCTCTAGCTCAGTAAATGTTTGGCTCCGTATGGTAGGATTCAAAATGTTTTAAGTATTGCTTGAATGAAAATAAAACATCCGCTTCGGTAACGGAATATGTGACAGCAAAGCAAAACGATACATACAAGGCTCAAAATTTAAAATAGATGGAGGTAGTTCTAAGAAATTTTGACGAAAATGCAGAAGTATGTACAACGTTTTCATGACGTTCCTGTATAGACATGGAAACTGCATGAAAATGACCTCTGTATAAATGGAACTTTTACATCGGGACTACAAAAAGTTTTCATTTCAAGGTTATTTAGCATCATTCGAAATGATGCTAATAAAGTCAACGTTGAATAAAGTCAATGTTGAAAATGAATTACAAAAATGATGTATATTTTAACCATTGAAACTCAATCTTTATTTGGACACGGTTCGTGATGTTCTGAATGCTGAATCTACATAAAAAAGGTCACAGATAACATAAAAAAATTTTCCTCCTCTCAAACGCAGAAGAAAAAACTAACAACCCATTTTAAGTCCTGTAATTTCCTTTTCATAGCACTGAGACAAGCGAAGACCTATCTAAATTGTTACGTTGTACAAAATATCCCGCAAATATACAGTCTTGTAACGTAAAAATAAAATTCAGATATTTTTTGAAAATATCTGAGTATTGATTTACTTGGATTAGGCGCAAAGAAGCTCCAGGTATTGTCTGCTCGTAGGCCGATGAACGAGATTTCATTCCATCAACAAACCGAAGCTTTCTTTGAAATCAAGATATCCCAAAATAAAATTTGTATTTCACAGGATTGTGTTTACAGTGCTGATAGCCCATGAGCAATGATTCTCTATGCTGTAATAGGTGACAATGAATGCCTTTTTTGGCATTTCGAAGTAATTTACGATAGGTAAGTAGCAATAAAGGAAGCCAAAATTTCATTTACATGTGAACAATGGATTACATGTTACATGTGAACATGTGAACAAAGCCATCCCGGGTATCCAGTATAAGTCACTCCGATACGCAATCGCAAGCAGAGTGTTTATGTGAGCTAGCTCAGCTCAGATCACCTGAGGTGAGGTCAGGTCAGGTCACATTAGAGCCCTGCCACAAGCACATACCTGGAACGCCGAGCGCCAGCACTCCGATGGCCACAAGCACACGCATCTTGTCTCTCAGCTCTGTTCCCGGCGTTGCACGGCACACTGACTCGGGGACGGTAGTGTCAGTCTGGGCCGGCTGCCTCTCCTATATAACCTCTGGCGGCCGGGCAGCCCGCGACGGGCGGGCCCGCGGCCGGGGGAGGGGCCCGCGGCCGGGGGAGAGGGGGGGCGCCGCCGGCACACGGGCGTGGCCTTGGAGTGGCGCATAGAACGGGTGGGCTGCCACGGACAGGGCGGGGATGGTAGGAACAGGATGGAAAGAGTGAGTCGAGACGGCATTGTTAGACGGAACCACCGCGGTACCGACACGATTGTGGTCTGACCCGCTTAGCCTGCTGGTGGTGTTATGTTGTGAACCAACCAAGTCTCCGCTCTGAAACCATTGTTGTTTTCATGATGGTGAGAAATGACAAGATTGCTCATTAGCGAGATTCAAAGGAACATTCTCACATTCTAGATAATTTCATATTAGCCAGCATGCGCACTGTGTCCTTTACTGTCTATTTCCAAATTTATTGCACTGCAAAATATATTGAGAATTGCTATTTTTATACTCAATGAAATTATTTTGAATCATAAATTTTCATTCTTAGTCAAGATAGCTTTGAAATCGTGTTTTACCATATGTGTTATGCATTTATAAGGGAAGTGTTGTTCCCCTTCTGCTGATAGAGGGGGGGGGGGAGAGTGAGAGGAAACGAAGAAGCATTATCGCGCCTTCATCACGTCTATTCCACAATCGCCTTTCTTTTGCGTGAAACATTCTATGACTTTGGTCATAAGCCCTCTGTAGCTGGATCACTAGGTTGTTGTAAAAAGCTGCTATAAACATTTAGAAATCGACAAAAATGGTAAAAAAGGCTGCATATCATTGTTTGGTTTAGATTGCCTGACGGTGGTTTCGTGAGCTTTTGACCATGTCAAAATTGCACCCAGTCTGTTTTTCTTTCGCAGATCAGTGACTCTAAAATAGGCCTCACGTAACGGTATGTCCTAACGTTTGGCGAGGGCCCTGAAGGCTCTGTTTTCATGACCTCCGTTTTCCCATTATTTTTCGTTGTCCGTCTATCTCCTGTTCCAAGGCCATATAAGTCTTGCTCTATGTTTTTTTGTTACGTTTTCATAGCCTGAGACAACCGAAGACCTGTCTAAATTGTTACGTTGTACAAAATCTGCCCACAAATATACAGTCTTGTAAAGTAAAAATAGGATTTAAATATTATGCTACTTACTTAATTGATCAAGTGGGTCCAGCTGTTCTTATGTCAAATAAATAAATAATTTACATTGCTAGATTAAATGCATGTTGTAATCATCAGTCCACGAATAAAATGTGTACGAGGAAAACTGCCAGTTGTTGCTTGCAACTTTCAGCTGTAGCCATCCCACCGCTGAGAGCACAAATTACTTTCGTTAAAACAAACACCAGTGAAATATATGTGCATCTTCTCACCTCAAATTACTGATGACTCCACGCCCGGGTGAACTTGTGTGAGAATATTCGCGATGAAACAGTCGCAACACGGCCCGTCAAATCCCACGTCCTCGTTCTGATTCCGTGGAGTCGCGGTCTACCCATGGGCACTGTGGTCTCCCCATGGGCGCTGCGGTATCCCTTCACAGCGATCACCGACGCGTCCATGGACCATCAACGCTACACGTGCTACCGACACGTTTGGTCGGCACGTGCTACCGGCTCTGCGGTCGGTACGTGCTACCGGCTCGTGCGGCCGGCACGTGCGGCGAGATGCCACGGCTGGGAGAGCAGCGAAATCGACCGGTCCGCCGTCCGGCGTCTGACGCGACTTCCGAGTGACGTTCGCGACGACCGAAACTTTCTGCATGGCGGCGCTGTGAATTGATGCATGTAATATGAGCATGGCTCGGATGTAGTTATTTGGGAAGGGATATGATTGTATTAATTGTAGGGCAAGCTAGTTAATGGCCAAACTTTCATGCCGAGATGAACAGGTGGTCTTATTTTTAAAAACTTTGATAAGCTTCGCAATGTCGATAGTTGAGCCGTTCAAACTCGTTTCAGTAGTGTTCATGACCACTAAAAGATCAGGTACTGGCGGCAGTGGCTGTCACCTCACATGGATACCTATAATCTAAAGCGCTAGTCGTTGCGAGTAGCGCAGCGTTCCTGGAATTGCATGCAGCAGAGCGGTGTTCCCTGTACCACGGCTCCATCCCGACAGATTCGAAGAACGACTAACGATTTCTCCGTCAGATTGTGGTACTGATGGACTCTCGGACGCAGGGTGGCTCACGGTGGGCTGGTTAGAAGTTGTAAGCACGCCGCACATTCTCACGTGTTAGTATGTAGGTATTGCAGTACACATGTAGACTTACACACCTCGGCGATCATAGCTATTTTATGTGATCATTAACCCGCGCCCGGCTGGGGGTCCTGGATTTCCACGCCCTGCTGGGGGGGGGGTGTTTGAACACCCCCCCCTTCTAACTCGGCTCCTGGGCCACGTAGCGATACGCGGAAGGCGGTGTTCGAGAGAGCGTAAAAAATAATGACGAAATCACTTCGGTCAATTTTTTGGTCAGGTCAAAGGTCAGGTCACCAGAGGTCATTGAAGGCAAAATTTCGCCGATTTCCAGGTCGAATGTCGAAAATTTCCAAGAAGCCAACGCATAACTCGAGAACAAATAGAGCTACAGCGCCGCAGAAAAGCGCATTCGATAGCCCTATTAAAGCCCTTTCTGAGTAATTCTCTCAGATTTGACCTAACGTCAACGGTTTTGCCTGCAGGGGGCAAAAATTGCAAAAATAGCCGATTTTTTTCGGAAACAGTTTTTCTGCAATAACTTTTGACCCGAGCCTTGTACGAGCTTACTTTTACCGGCATTGTGTTCCTCTCGTCAAGACGCATCAAATGAACTATAAGTTGACCTTGAAAGGTCAACTTGAAAATTTGACCTCAGGTCAAGGTCATGACCTGACCGGAAAGGGTCATGTTGCATATCAGTCGATCCGTATCGTCGAGCTGAACACAGCTAAGGCGTTTTCATCGCTCTAGCATGCCTCTATCAAAAGTTATTTGCGAAAAACTGTTAGATACCATTCGTGACCTAAGATGACCTCAGGGCATAAACAAGGGTCACGGACACCATTTTCATGTTCAGTGTGTCTAAACCACTTGTCATTCGGTGTTTGGGACTGTTTATAATGTCTTTTGTCCAAAAGAGGCGCATTTCAATTTTCTCCCATTGACTTATAATGGGGAGGTCGCAAAATTGACCTGACCTTAGGTCATCGATATCAAAATTCTGAGATATACATTTTGTACATGCTATTGCTCTTAGCAATCGCTGAAAGTTTCAAAGCGATCGGTCACTCGGTGTAGCTATGACAGACATTGAAACTTTTTATGAGGTGAGGTCACTTCAAGTGACCTGGTGACCTGACCTTGAATGACCTTGGTCTGAAATTTTCACAACATGTGTAGAATTGATGTGCGATAAGGTGTACCAAAAACGGCGGCGCTCCGCGCCGCCGTTTTTGAGATATTCGCGAAAAACCACAAGGGGGGGTGTTCAAACACCCCCCCCAGCAGGGCGCGGGTTAATGCAATTTTTCACGTTCCAACATGCCTGATGGCGTCGTTCCTGAATAAATGATTTCAACCCAGTCGCAATCTAGCCCAAGCTATAACTAATAATTAGAAATATATTTTCATCAAGTCTCGGTTTTATATGCATACACAAGGCCCTATGCATACATAGATTCGGGTGCATGCTAGCAAAAGTCAGTACCTAGTACCTACCTACCTACCTAAGCTATGCGCATATTTCAACTCACGTTCATTGAAACCCAGTGCAGTCGGTATTCGATAAGCATGCTGTTTGACTGGCTTTGTGACCTTCCTAGGCCTCAAATTAACTTTTGCATGTCATTAGCGAGCAGAGATTCAAGACACAAAGACTGAACCAAATTGAAAAAAAACTTTCGTATATTTCTGACGGCATAAAATGTTTGATGAAAGTCATTAGCCGCCACCTCACAATCGACGCTGCATACTAAGAAATCAACGTCACAATAAAAATGAATGAGAGCATTTCATTGAAGGTAAGCAGACGATGCGAATGTGTGGCATTCAAGACGCCGAAGTAACTCGCGAGTCGCACATTTCTGTCATATCGTACAGAACAAGTCATTCATTCTGCGGTAACTGCCTCTCTGCAGCCGGGTTTCCGAGTGCAGATTACCGCGTGACAGAGACACCGTATTTTTGGCATTGTATCGTGACATTGCCACAAATAAACTTCCCACCACGGAGAAGAGACATTTCCTCAGCTCACAGCTCAGGAAGGGCAATTTGGGACAAGTGTCGGTCACGATCAGCGACTGTCGTCACCACGCGGTTACCCAGGCACGGAATCATTTTACAAGGCCCAGCGCTTGTAACTGGGCAGCATGTGAACCACCGAAAATTCTTCTCCCGTCCTAAACCCACCGTGCTAATAGAGCCAAAATGTATACGTCGTGTCGAAAGTGAAACAAGTCGTGTCTATGTACCTGCGGAACTTTTAGGTGTTAGTGCTGTATGAGGATACTTACGAGCATATCGCACTAGGTAGGGGAAATATTTTTCATATGATCTGTACCTATCATCAAAACCTCAATTATGTGCCAATTGTGTTTTACTTATGAAAGCATGATTTCTTAAGTGAGCGAGGTTATCTGGGGTTATGAGAATGACATAGGTTAGGAATATTCTTGACGCTGAAATGTATTGCCTTGATCGAGACGACTGTTCGATATGTAAACTATGAGCTCAAGATATTTATATCAATTAAAAGATTTCAGTGAAGCTATTACACAAGCAAATTGGTAATTTATTGGTTCACTTTGTTATACCTGTTTTACTTTAGCCTAGAGACAACTTAACCACAAACATTACTGCGATTAGGGTCATCCAAATGCATGCAGTTCCAGACTTCCATGGCTGTTCAGGAGGATAAGGTTTTCAAATGTTCTTAAAAATCTGAAGTAATCCAGACGTGGATGCTGCATTTTTTCATTCTAATTCCATTCTTATTTGTATAGAACGAAAAATAAATGCATTGTCGGTATACTCAGTCGTACTTCTTGTGACGTGGCAATGATATCTATCAGCATTATTAACAGTTGTCACGGCAAACTACTGGTCATCATGCGCACACATCCGTGTTGTCAAGAAGTGTG